AACTTTCAACTGTTTTGCCCCAGTTCATTCACAACAACAAAATAACACTGTCACAGGCCCCAAGTTTTCAAATGTAGGTGAACTGGAATGGGGATAATTATAGGTTGAAGCTTTGCTTGAAATCCAGTCTTTCTCAGAAAACAAAGACTCTATATGTGTCTTTTACATAGCAGTCAAATCTCTAGATTGGCTAAGTTGAAAATAGTGGTACCCAATTCAAAGATGATACAAAGTAATACAACTTTGAATGGATGGTGCTGTCCACAATCCTAGAGAGAATTTACACTGTTATACACTAAGTCATATGTAAAGTTCCTAAAATAATTCTTGAAAGGGCTTCCTACAACCCTTCCTGGTCTTCCATTCCAGTATTTGACCTATAATTCCTCTTTTCTGGTTAGCATTGCTAATCACTCAAATTTTAAAAATCTGACTCGACTGATTTTGCTTTAACGGTCATGATTGAAACTATTGAAACGGATTTTTGAGCCTGGTTTAGAAGCCTTAAAAGCCTCTGTTTATTTAAAATAAAAAATAACCTTAACTCAGAATATGCTAGTTCTCAAGGCACATCTCCTCGTATTTGGAATGTTTTAGTGAGCCCTTGATGATCCCAACTCATAGCTGACCTTCCAGTGAGTTTTCAGAGACTGTTAATCATACTGGATGAGATTGCTCATCTTTTTCCTATGGAGTCACTGATGAATTTAAACCATATACCTTTGTGTTGGCAGCACAATGCCTTACCTCTAAGTCACCTCAGCGCCCAGATATCTTCATGGAATAATGATTACCACCTTTGGAAGTGACTAGTTGCCAATAATTTCATATTACTTGGATCCACAATCAATACTCTTGGTACCAATGGTCATAAAATTGCACTGGGAATGTCTACAATTGGGGACCATTACAAATTATTGAGGAACAGTGATGTCTGTTTGAGGACTAAAGTGTGTCTGATCCAGGCCATAGTCTTTCTAATCATTGCTATGCATATCAGATCTGGACAATGAATAAAGATGACACAAGAAGAATTGATTCATTTGAGCTGTGATGCTAGAGAATAATAGTATTGAATATCCCATGGATTGCCAAAAGAACAAACAAATATGTCTTGGAGAAAGTGCAGCCAGAGTGATTCTTGGAGGTGAAAATCATAAAGCTTCATCTCACCTACTTCAGGCACATGGCTAGGAGAAACTTTTCCTTGGAGAGGGGTGTCATACTTGGAGAGACGGAGGATCAGTAAAAGAGACGAGGACCTTCAACCAAATGGATTGACATAGCAACTGCTGCAGTGGGCTCTAGTGTGACAGGAGTGTGAGGATGGCACAGGATAGGACAGGATTCAGATCTGTTGTTCATAAGGTCACTGTGGGTCATACTCAACTCAGCAGCATCTAACAGCAACAACAATGACAGCATACCAGTCCTATAGATTTTGGAATTCTTGTTTTCATTTGTGTCTGAGTTTTCTGATCTTCTTTGTTTTAAATCTTCTAAAAATAACACCAGGGAACCAATTTAAGATATGGAATCAGAAATACAAATTGGTTGAAAGGTGTCTTGATATTTCATTTGCACTCAAATATTCTGAAGATGCTTAATGAGATAGATTGACACAGTGACTTATAGCAGTGGATTTGGGCATGGCAGAGATTGTGATGATGGCACAGAACAAGGCAGGGTTTCTATCTGTTGTTCATACATTGAGTCATTGTGATTAATAGTTGACTTTGATGGCACCTAATAACAACATATCCTGTTAACTTACAGGAGAGATAAATGTTATTGTTAAAAAAAAAAAAACTGCCTCAGAATACACAAAGAACATCAGCCCCCTCCTTTTTTTTTTTTTGTGAAAAGGAAAATTACAACAGTTGAACATGTGACACCTTTGAGTTGAACTCTAGCAACCTGGGCCCTGCAGACACCACCTTGTTTCAAAGGTTTGTGACAACTTATAGTACACTTGGGAGGATACTAAAGTCAAGAAGAAACTGCTACTGGAGTAACTCTTTCAGTGGGAAAACCCAGCAGCTGATAATGTGATGTCCCCACACATTAGGTGTCTAAGACTTTCCCTAAGAGAAGCTGCCCCTCTCTGAATTCACAGACTCAAACTCAGCTAATTAACAAGCTTTAGTCCTTTAATATCCTCCAGCCTTTCTTTTTTTAAAATAGTATTTAGCTTTATTAAGTATTATACCTGTATCTGTAATCATGATTCAACTATTTTTCTTCCTTTTTCTATTAAAATGATGAATTACAGGCATCCTTTTTCTAAAAACATTTTTAAAAATTATTTCATAATTAAGAAACATGCTCCATTTGCTGTGAATATATATACAGGAACACTTACTTCATGGTTTCTGGACATGGATTAAATTCTTCACACAGTCAACATTTTGTGAATTCTGTCTTCTACTTTTCTTGTGTTTTCCCATTCCACTTTTTTTGTTTAGGGTTTTGCTTTGTCTTTCGGAGAGGGGTTCTAATCATTGTCTATGCTTATAATTCTCTGATGTATTTATGGTGACTTTCAGCACAGGAGTGCTTGGTTCATGATGACACTGCCACCAAACTATGGTTGTGGAATAATTTGACTACTTAGGAAGACATCCACCTTGTACAACTTAAAAAAAACAAAACAACTTCATTAAAGTCACAGCCAGATTTCTCAAGTAAATACTAGTATGATCTATGTTTTACAAAGGAAGACACTGGACATTAGTAAAATTAAGTAATACTGTTTTTGGTGGTCGTGGGAACAACAGTGTTCATGAATGAAACATCTGTATGACATGATGCCATTCCTGCTCCGTGCTTCAGTGTACAGAGAACCATGGGTTTGAGCTGTACCAGGCCAGCTCCTAGCTAGACTGCCTCTTCCGTATTACTAGCTTTAAAATGTACAGTAAGACTGAGAAAAACTGGATGAAATATGTTTACGGCATTGAAGTCTATGGGGGAGAGAATAGTCTAAAAGTATTATATTTTAGGGCATTATTTTTATCGTAGGAGTATGCAATGAGGGTTGTAGAGTGGATTATATTTGGGGCTAGGGGGTGGGGTTTGGGGAGGTGCGGGGGGATTGTGTACCAATGAGGGAGTTTTTCTTTTGCTTTTCAAGGAGAGGAGCAAATTGGGGGGAGGGGGGAGGGGTTTGTGCGGGGAGAAGGGTGCAACAATGAATGAATGGAATTCCAAAATCTGTAGATGTTCATTGAAATGAAAAATAAACAACCTAAATTAAAAAAAAAAATGTACAGTTAGAGTCTAGTTGATTCCACCTCCTGGCAACTTCATGTCTTTGGGGGTAAAATTTTGCTCTGTAGAGTTCTCAGTAGCTGAAATGTTTTGAAACTGGATTATCAGGCCTTTCCTTCTGATATCCCTACTGGTGGAGATGAACGTGTAACCTTTCATCAAGATGCTGAGCTCATCAGTGGCACTACCCAGGGACTCTGCTGTTGAATTTAAGAAGGATATATCTTCCCCTTCCTCCTGACTGAGCAGAGTGGAGACCCCAAAGCTTCAAGCTCTTGATTCATAGTCTCCTTTTCTTTATGAGATTAAATTGCTTATAGCTCTGTTCGGCATCAACATGTCTTCCATTTTCCCTTCTCAATCACTGAGTTCTTTCTGTATTATTACTAATAGTTCATTTGTAAGGTACTGCCATTTTAGGGGAAGGAGGATCATTGAAACAAAAAACTGTACTGCCTACTTGGCATATTACCCAAAGTTATATGAATTTGTAGCCAAGTTTCAACAATAACCAAAAAACAGTAAATAAAGGCCAGTTCCCTTTTATAACAGGAGATTTATTCATTTACTGAACATAATGCAGTGATTGTGACCTTCTATTATTTGTAACCTCCCTGAGACTATAATGTACTATAAAATTGACATATTTATGAAAATCTTGTGAGATGAACACTTAAGTTTTTGGTTTGTGTATTTAAGGAGGGTTTTTTTGTTTGGTGTTTTTTGTTTGTTGGGTTTGTTGTGGCATTTGTGCTAAGAATTTAAAAATTGGTGGATGGAGGAAAGAGGCAAAAAGAACTCTCAATGTACATGAATGAAACACAATATAAACAAATTATTGTATGCAAATCAGTATTTTTTTTAATTGCTAGAGAGGATATAAGTTGAATCCAGTAAAATACTTTTTTTTTAAACAAGGTCATTAATTCAGGAAAACCAGAAGAAAAAGGATGAGCAATCTCCTCACGAGTTTTGTTGTTGTGTACCATAGAGTTGGAACCGATCCATAGCTGACCCTCGAATGGGTTTCCAGAAGCTGTTAAATCACATGAGAAGAGGTTGCCCATCCTTTTCTCATGGAGCAGCTGGTGTCCTTGAACCATGTGCCTTCAAGATTGCAGCACAGCTTCTCACATGCTTTACTACTGCATCTGACCTGCTGCAGGGTCAGCTATGAGTTGGTTCCAACAGGATGGTCTTTAACAAAAAAACGAAGAATACTTACTCTCTATAATGCCTTTAATCCACACCAAAGATTTCTTAAGTTAGTGGTATCCTCCATCCCCCAGCTACGTTTTACAAAGGAAGGCTGGAGATTAGTAAGGTCTCCAGTGGAGACTCCACTGGCATTAATAATAAAAGAAATATTATTTAGAATTTGGAAACTCAGCTGGAATCCAGGTCTCTTCAGTTGTTTACTCTCTGCTGTCTATCTATATGTAAATAAATTAAGTGTTCATGAGAAAGTAAAAGAGACATGATTTGCTTTTTAGCCTTGCAATTATTATTGCAATAATTGTTGAATTACAGAGAGAGAAGATATAATAAAATGTGTTTGTGTTGCTTCTCTATGTAAACTCTTTTGAAATGATTTCATCATTCTTTTTGTTGGAATGTTTGCCTTTTAAAATTTGAATGAATACATTGCATTTTTAATGAGCTTGTCTTTGCCTGTTGAAAATGGTAAGCATTTTAATGGTTTTTGTCTCTAAATTTTTTTTTCTCCCCAGGGTCAGCGTCTTTTTGAAAAGTTGCTTCAACTGACTTCACAAAATATTGAAATTAAGCTAGTGAGTGACATAACAGCTGATTCAAAGGTATTAGAAGCCTTGAAATTAAAGGGTAAGACCAAGGTTGATACTTACTCTCTCAATGAGTATTCTACTAGCAAACTGTTTATTTCATTTACAATAATATATCATTTCTTTATAATCAAAACTAATTTCACTTAGTATGCTTCTTATGTTGACTTTGAAAAATAGCCTGATTGAAACTTTTAAATGAGGGAATCCATTAGCCAGGATGGCCAATTTTTTTTTTTAAATAGTGGTGTTGGACATTACATGATGCAAAATTTTCTACTGAGCCGTTAATGCAACGGAAAAATCTTTCTGTGTCTACACATTTCAGTGATGAGAGTAGAGTGACTTCTCATTGCAATGTTGGATTTCTATTTTTCTCTTATAAATCAAATGAAAACCATATTCTTGTAACTTTAAAAAAAGAATAGTCACATCTAATGTTCTGTGGAGCACTGATGATTTCTAAGATCTAATATAATTTCATGGGGGGGGGAACATCATTTATTGGGCCTGTCTGCAGTCTGTTTTACAATCTCATAAAGACTAAGAACAAATATGAAATGACGTCCTTCATTTTGCTTATACGACAGCCACTAACTAAGCTCTCATTTCTGAAAGGTTTTATTAATTTGGTAAATTCTTACCTGGCATCCTGGAACATAATATCTGGGTTGAAAACTACCATATAGAATTAAGTTGTCACAGGGGAGAACGAGAGTGGGAGAGTGGCCACAGGAGAGGACAGTGAGTGGTGACAGGGAAGGACAAGGAGGAGGCTTCTGTGGGTCTCACTGCTTCACATACAACGTCACATCTCACATTTCTCTTGTGAACTGTGCATGAAAAAAGATACTGAACTAAAAATGTGTGGATATGTGTATATAAGTGTGTGTGTGTATGCAATACTCAAAAGCACACACCTATATGGAGCTCTAGTGGTCTAGTAATAAGGATTGCACTGCCAACCCAAAGGCAGGCAATCCAAATCCACTACCAAGTCTGTGGGAGAGAGATGGACAGTCTTTTACCGTGTAGTTTACAGCCTCTGAAAACCTCCTGGAGGGTCAGCTATGAATCAGTTCCAACTCAGTAGCACATAACTATATATTTGTATGAATATCTATCTATCTATATGTATATATGTGTGTATATAAGTATGTGTGTGTGTGTGTGTGTGTCATTGTTAAGACCATCAAGTTATTTGAACTGTGTGTGTGCCTGTTTGCCTCTGGGTTCACACAGCACAAATCCTTATTACTAAGCCACCAGAACATATGTGTGTGTATATGTGTACTTACTTATATATTTATATTTATACGTGCTTGCACATGCACTTCAGTAACATTCCTTTCATTGTGCTTTGCAGCTACCAACACCAGCTATTTCCAAATCGCTCCACCACCATTAACAGAAACCCAGTACCCCTCAGCAATGCTCTCTCTTTCCCTCCCTCTCTACTTTGGTAACCATAAATGCACATTGATCTCTATGCATTTATTTATGTCTTTCATGTATGTGGAATCAGTATTTGTTCTTTGCCCTTGCTGTATATTTTCTCTTATTATCTTTCCTACATTATTAAATGGAACAATCTCTTGGGGGAAAAAAATGGAATTACATGGAAAGGAAATAAGGAGCCCCGGTGGTGTAGTGGGTTATATGTTGAGCCACTAACCAAAGCTTATCAGTTTTAATCCGCCAGGTTCTCTATGGGAAAAAAATGAGCACTCTTCTCCCACTAACACGTTGCCACACAATTTTTAAATTGACGACTGTGCTCAAGTTTACAGCCTTGGGAACAAAATGGGGGGGTGTCAGTCTGAGTCATGTTCAACTTGACAGCAGTGAGTTTCCAAAGAAAATAAGTGAACCGATGATAAGTTGTAGGTAATATAGCATGTTGAGAGACAAATCTATAGAAGACTGAAACCTGACTAAACTTATTTAACTATGACCGTGCATCTTATCAATTAATGAACATAATTCTATGAGTCATCATAAAATTGGTGAGGTTATTTCTGGGTCTGAAAAGCTTCACTATGCTGCTTGTTGTGGTGGTGAAGTGCCCTCATGTACACTGTGATTCAGTGACACTATGAATAACAGATCTGAATTTTGTTTTACCCTGTGCCATCCTTATAATCTTTTCCATGCTTTCACCAATTCTGGTAATCACTGTGTCAGTACATCTTGTGGAGGGTTTTCCTCCTTCTCTGACCTTCTACCTTTCCCACCATAATTTCTCCTGGTTCTTACTAAAAACATGCCCAAAGTAGATTGAGACAAACTTTCACCATCCTTGCTTCTAAAGAGCACCCTGGTTGCACTTCCTCCAAGATAAATTTCCTTCTTCTTTTGGTAGTCCATGGAATATTCAATATTCTGCACCAGCACCACAATTCAAAGGCAACAGTATATGAAACCAGTATATGAAATAATTAAAAATACCATGGCTTGGATCAGGCACACCTTAGATTTTAAGCTGGTATTGTTACTCTTTGACCTTTGGAGAGGTCCTCACTCAACAGCAGATTTATCCAGTGCAATATGTCTTTTTATATTTTTTCCCCAGTTGCTGCTATTGTGGCTATTGGTTATGGATCTAAGTGAGATGAAATGATTGACCACTTCAATCTTTCTCCAACCATCATGATGTTGCCTATTAGTCAAGTTGCGAGGTTTTTTGTTTTCTTGATGTGGAGATATAACCTGTATTGAAGGAGGTAGACTTGTCTTCTTCAGAATGGTATGGAGCTTGATGATAATATAATTTGGAAAATTAGAGGAAAGTAGTTTCATTGGACTAACAACTCAATCAACACCACCACCACCCACTTTTTAAACAAAATATGGAAGGTAGTCAGGTTGCCTTTAGCTAAAAATTTGATACTGAATACAGTTTTAAAAGTGGGCTACTTTTGGTTAACTAAGGATGTCTGTATTTGCATATATTTTTTTCTCTTGGAGTATATATTGCATCTTCTTTGAATGCCATTTTTAAAAAAGGATAAAAAACAAATGAGCTAATACAGGAAGGAAACCTGAGAGTTCTATTACTTCTGTTTATATATCCAAGAATCTATTCTTTGCCATGTTGTTGTTGTTGTTGTTAGATGCCATCAAGTTGAGTAAGACTCATAGCAACAGACTTGAATACTATCCTATTCTGTGCCATCTTCATGATCTCTGACACACTCAGGACCATTGCTACAGTCACTGTGTCAAGCTATCTCATTGGGGATTTTCTTCTCTTTTGCTGACCCTCTACCTTTCCAAGCATGTTGACCTTTTCCAAGGATAGCCTCTCCTAGCAACATGTCCAAAGTATGAGAGATGAAACATCACCATGCTTGCCTGTGAGGAGCACTCTGGCTACACTTTTTTCAAGATATCTCTGTTTGTTCTTTTGGTTGTTCTTGACATAGTACATGCTTAAACTTGTAACTACCAAAAGTTAAACCAAGACATACTAGAGGCCACAACAGACATTCTTTCATGGTACAGAATACCTGGCTACCATAAATAGGGAGTATTTGTTTTCTGGTGTCTTTGGTACAAAATTAACCGAGTTTCTCTAGTCCAGCTTCAGGTGATATGTAACTCAATGTTTGTTTCTTAAAAATATGTATCTTTGCAATGAATAAATAATTGTTGCACAAATGTTGTCATTCAAACTCCAACTCTATTTCTGTCACTAAGGTCCTGTTTTTAAATTACCAGTCTCGGTTTCTAACTTTTGCATTCTGATTATTACCAATTATTATAAATGCAACTTTAATGCATGTTCAATTTCAAACTGCAAAAGTTGGTTGGTTTTGTTTTTGTTAAGTGCTATTGAGACAACCAGGACTCATAGTAACCCTACGAATAAAACCGAGCCAAACCCACTGCAGTCAGGTTGATTCTGATTCATGGTGACCCTCCATTGGATTTCAAGGCGATAGATTTCCCTGAAAGTAGCCTACCTCACCTTTCTCTTGGCTAGCAACTCATGGGTTGTAACTACTGACCTCTTGGTGAGTAGACAGAAATTACTATGATCATTTCTATATGTGTATGATTGGTAGAAATTAACTTTATAATGCAATGATATTTATTTACTATACTCCTCCATTTTATGTGTTGTTGTTGTTATGTGCCGTTGAGTCTCCTGTGACTCATAGCGACCCTAAATGCTGCTGTATCCTGTGCCAATGCGATTGCTTCTGACACACTACCCCCATTACTCCAGTCACTGAATCAGTCCGTCTCATTGATGGCCTTCCTTTCCTGCATTGTCCCTCCACCCTTCCAAGTATGATGTCCCTCTCCAAGGACTGGTCCCTCCTTGCAAAGTGTCCAAAGTATGTCAAATGAAGCTTCAGTATCCTTGCCTCCATGGAGCAGCCTGGTTTAACCCTCTCCAAGGTTGATCATAGAGTCACACAATTTGATGGATGGAGGGAGGGGTGAGTAAAGGAAAGGGTAAAAATCTGATGTGAAAAAATAATTTATATAATAAATATTTAAAAATGCAAAGAAGAGGACTATCTGCTTATTCATGTATTTTTTTGTTTGTTGAGGTGTTTTTTTCTTGTTTTTTGGGGTGTTTTTTTGGTCCTTTTAAAAAAAATCATACAGGAGGAGATTGCCCATTTTTCTCCTATAAAGCCACCAGTCGATTTTTAACCACCAGAGAAGCACACCCTTTGCAGTAGCAAAACATCTGTCTATAAACTACTCCCCCAGAGCCATCAGTAATTAAATAAAATACTTGAAATAAATTACAGAAGAGCTACTTTCCTGGAATATGTATTTTTAAGAAATCATATGTAGGGCATATATAGCAACCCAAGTGAAAGAAAGAAGTGTAGTCTTAAAAAGGAGAGAAATATAACACTCCATGAAAAGTAGAATAAGGGAGAAATGTTAACAGGCTATAAAAAGATTGGGCCGTTGGTCCTGCTGACAGCTGACTTGGATGAATAACAGATTTAAATCCAGGATTAAACTCTATCCCTAGATTGTCACTGATAGCAATCAGCCCAATTTCACAGCCAC